CTGTGCCACCCATCCTTTGATAGAAACTCTTACCTCTAGAGATGGTTTGATCAATGCTGAATTTCTTTCAAAAAATACAGCCACTCGACCAAGGGAGTATTACTGACTTCAAATGAAATTACTGCAGAGACCTTATCCATTCCATGGTAGACAACTCAAAGAACATTAATGTTTTGAAGGATCTTAGCCTTAAAGAGACTCTCATCATTGGAGGCAGAGATTGGTGAAACATTTTGTCAAAGTGCATAGAAAGATGCTGGAAGAAAGAGCTGGGTTACACATTCAACTGTTCTGACAGCAGCAGTAATAATGAAGATGGCTTACTAGGATTCACCCAAAAGGAAATCAATAAGGCTGAAAAGAAGTCTATGTATTACAATGGCTTTGATACAAATGATACAGCTATAGCCAATCTAAAATGGCTTAAAATCAGTCATGACCACCCCCCATCTATGAAAAACTCTTGGATGAGGAGATCATACAGAACATCCAAAGCCAAACAGCAGCTGATAAAAACAATGATAATGGTGAAATTTCAACAGAAGAGAGACCATCTCTTTCAGCATCATGTTTGGCTAAACACTTCAAAGGTTTTATACTGGATGGAGTGACAACCAGTGGCTATTCCAGGAATTGTGATGCATATGTAAAATGCTCTACTACATTTGGAAAGAGGCTTGAAACCAAATAAAACAGAGCTATCTTATTTTATTTTATCTATGTTCTTTTCATATCTATTTTCTTTATGTAAATGAACAGTTATTTAATTGATTGCTTTAGTAGTGTGTTGAATCTGTATTTGTTCAGCATGAGTACCTTTTTGACTAGTTAGTTATAATGCTCTCCCACCTATGTCGCTCTCATACGCACATGGCTCCCAATGGTAGTGTTATAATGAGGCAGTACTTTAGTTCTCTTGACTAATTTTTCTATACCAAAAATAAACCTTGAATCGCACTGAATATTGGAGAAATTATCTAGCAGCTAAAGAGGTAGAAAATGCAATATACACACATATCGCAACTACTACTAATATTGGTACCACTTCTTTAGTAAAAAAAAATGTGTAATTTTGTCTTTGAAGATTAACCTTGAAAATTTATTCCGTTTACCTTTGAAAGTTATGGAAATGCCCTTGAATTTTGTGTTAAATTCTAAAAAGTGTACTTTAAGTGTTTTACATGAAAATTGCATTAAAGCTGATTTTGCTTTAGAGTAACTATTAGATACTCCTATAGTTCTGAGTCAGAGTAAACTTTTTAATGAAATATGATACATTTAATAAAAATTTTGACAAAGCTGACTGTATAACTGAACAATACTTTAGTATATTTGGTAAATTTCAATCGGTTACTGGGTTTATTAGCTCTGAAACAGTTGCGACTGTGATGCAAAAGGATTTTGAGATTAAGTTGAATGAAACAAATTAAAGTGAGTTTGTTAGTAAATAGAAGAAGTTAATTGGAGTAATCACCTGTAAATATAAGTCCTAAATGTAATGGAGTAATTACTTTACATGATTCTAACAATTATAAAATCATTGCACAGCACAAACCCTTTTCTTGAACTTGTTGCTTTAAATATTAGTAATAGCTATATGCATATTGTTGAGATTGTTATCATATTATATTAGTGCAACTTAAATGTTGATTGAATGTCTCAGAATATTCATTTTTCTTAGGGTTTTTTTTCTTAGCCAGTTTACAGTAGTCTTGCCATGGAATGCAAACAACCTATTTCTCTCCCATTTTTATTTATAAGGGATAATTGTGTTAGCAAAATAGTCGATGCACTCTATGCTTGTGTTATTCTGCCAATTCTTAAGTTCTCAAAACTTTGCATTTGAAGCTGGAATTGGTTTCATTTTGTTACTGCATTGTTCTTGTCATTTTAATATAACATCCTGCCTCTGATCATTGTTCTGCAAACCATGTTTGAACTGTTGAAATAGGAAGATGGTACTGGAAATAATTTCAAGACATTGTTAAATGAGTATTTTAAAGGATTACAGCTTCGTGAGATTCTTGAATTTCCTTTATTGTCTGATTAATTCAGTTTAAAAATGACTGACTATATTGCAGTGTTTAATTCTTTCAATAAGGGCTCGGTCAGAGGGACCAACCTCGTAACTGTTTTGAGCTTGTTATAGTTTTCATACTGTAACTTTTAATACAGTAAGTGTATCATATACAAAATATCAGATTTTTGTATCAAGTTTTAAGATTTTTAAGTAATATGCATTTTTTCTTTTCGAATGTTGACTATCCAGCATCCAAAGTAATTTTTATTTTAAGATTAAAAATACTTTTATATATCAGAAAATTTTCAAATTTCACATAAGAAATCTTTATAACCTCCAGATAGCTATCAAAACTTTTTTTTTAGAAAAACTTAATATTGTATTTGTTATTTTCACTATTCTATCTCTGTATGGGTTTGGTCGATTTGACCAACCTCGTAACCACCAATAAAAATTATAAAATGTATATGATTTTACTTTTTTAGTTTTAGAATGACTACAAATTATAACTTGAAAACACGAATGTTTAGTCTAAATAGCTTAAATCTCATAACATTATTCATCTATATATATTTATTATTTTTATTTTATTGACCTTTCAGCCATGCCTGACTAGTAATACAGAAGTTGCAATGATGCCTTTACAAAGTGACTTATCTTGGCTTTGTTCTAGTGGACTAGTATTTTGTAAAATACAGTCACATTTCAGTTATAATACGTTACCTTTGTATTTAGGTTTTATATGTGCATTTTGAAATAAAAAATCATAAATTATTATATCAGTACCACAGAATTCCACTATAATTTATCAGACTTAGTAACTAAGCTGTATTTGGGCATAAAAAAATATAATT